GGAATCATCGTGTTGAAGGGAAACCTGCACTCCAATGATTTGCCTTTTGATAAGACCCCTCTGGCCTCTGCACCGCATGTGCTGCAGGGAACAGAGGCGAGGCAGGAGCAATTCTCCATTCACTGGCTTCTCCTTCCCTCTTCCTCTCCCCCAGGTTTCCTTCGCCCACTTGAACAAGGTCCCCCGCACACCTGGGTCCATGCCTGTGACCTGGACCCCCCCGGGCATCCCCAGAGCCCTGCCCTGGGCCAACCAGAGCTTGGCCCGCGAGTTCGTCCTGCTGGGCTTCACTCACGTACCTGCACTGAGGCCAGCTGCTCGCCTCGCTCTTCCTGGCCATGTTCCTGCTCACGCTTCTGGGCAACGCACTCATCGTGCTGCTGACCAGCCTGGACTCGGCCCTGCGCGCGCCCATGTACTTCTTCCTGCGCCAGCTGGCCCTCGTGGAGATCTGCTTCTCACTGGACATAGTGCCCCGGCTGCTGATGACCCTGCTACGGCCGGGGCGGGGTGTGTCACCTGCGGGCTGTGCCCTGCAGCTGCTGCTGGTGCTGTCGTGTGTCACATCTGAGTGCTTCCTCCTGACTGCCATGGCCTGGGACCGCTACGTGGCCATCTGTAGGCCCCTGCGCTATGGAGCCATCATGAGCGCAAGGCTGTGCCACCTGCTAGTTGCCGCTTGCTGGCTGGCGGGAGTCCCTGTGTCGCTGGTCTTTACCCTCTGGCTGTTCCACTTCCCTTTCTGTGGGCCGCATAGTATCCACCACTTCTTCTGTGACATTGCTCCTCTCCTGAGCCTGGTGTGTGCGGACACCAGGGTCTTCGAGACCAATGTGTTGGTGGCCACGGTGTTGGTTATGATTGTTCCTTTCTGTCTGATAGCCACATCCTACACCAAGATTCTGACCACAGTCCTACGGATGCCATCAGCCACTGGGCGCCACAAGGCCCTGTCCACATGTGCCTCCCACCTTATCGTGGTGACTCTGTTTTACAGCACAACGGGGGTCATCCACTTGCAACCCAAGGCCAGCTACTCCCCAGAGAGCAAGCAGGTGGTGTCCCTGTCCTACACCCTGGTGACTCCCATGCTCAACCCTCTCATCTACAGCCTGCAGAACAAGGAGGTGAAGGCTGCCTTGGGGCGAGTGTGTGTTCAAAGAAGAGTGACTCATATTCCATGACCTCTCCATGACTGCAGAACCATTTATCCAACTACCGGCTGGACAGTGCTACCAGAGTGGTCCATAGGCATCTCAATGTGCATCAAACTGAACTTTTCTGATGTGTCTTTGTTCCAGCAATGACACATCTCCCTAATGGCTATCTTTAATCCAGCTGTCATTCCTGCATGCTCAGTTTGTTGAGTATGATAAGGTTCTGTTTCTATTAGTGGAGCATGGGCTGGATCCGTCTTCAAAAGGGTGGTAATAGCACAGTTCCTGTGGAAGTAGCATTGCCAGCATTAGCAAATAAAAACACGAGAAGTCCAGTTAAATTTCAATGTCAGATAAACAAGAAATTGATTTGAGTATGAATACATCCCATGTGATATTTTTTTGCCGTTATTTCTGAGTATAAGTATGTCCCAAATATCATGTGGGACATACTTATACTTAGAAATAATTTGTTTATCTGAAGTTAAAATTTAACTGTGTGTCCTTCATTTTTTCTGGCAACTGTACATGGAGGTTGTATTGGTTTTCTATGGCTGTTGTAACAAATTGCCACAAACTCAATGACTTAAAGCAACACAAATATATTACCTTGCAGTTCTGGAGGTCAGAAGTCTGACGTGGATTAAAATCTAGTTGTTGGCAGGGCTGCATTCATTTCTGGAGTCTGTAGTAAAATATATCAATTTCCTTATTTTTTGCAGCATCTACAGGCCACCCACGTTCCTTGGTTCATGACCCCTTTCTCCATTTCCAAAGCCAGCAATGGTGGGTTGAGTTCTTCTCACGTTCCATCACTCTTACCCCTTCTGCCTCCCTCTCTTACTTTTAAGGGCCCTTGTGATCACACCAAGCCCACCTAAATAATCCAGGGTAATCTCTCCATCTCAAGATTCTTAATTTAATCTATCTGCAAAGTCTCTTTGCCATGTAAGGCAACATTTTCAGAAACTGTGGATATTAGGACATGGACATCAGGCAGGGTGTGTGTGTGTGTGTGTGTGTGTGTGTGTATTATTCTATCTACTATACCTGCCAACTTGAGGGCCTGCCTTGTAGTGAAATCAACTCTGAAAAAATTTGAGCTGATAGTATAAAGAGATGATATTGCTTGAGCACCTGGATCCGGCCATTCTTCAGGCTAGATCTATTCCTGGGCTGCTAGTTCCATTGCATGAGCCAACAAAATTCTTTTTTGTGATCAAGCTCAGGTTGTAGTTTGTGACTAGGCTTGACCTATGAAGCAAATTCACTGTGCATAGGTCATCACGTTGCTTGAGTCTGGTCAGACAGACACCCCCACCCCTACCCCAACACACACACAGCAAGTTATGTGAAGTGGGTTTATTATTTAACAGATAGGCAACAGGAAACAACAGAAGTCTTGGATTCATTGAGAGCTGGTCCCCCAAGACTCAGGGGAGCTGCCTGGGGTGAATGGAATCTTGTCTGCACATGACCCACTTGCACTGCAGATGAGGGACCCTGGAAAGCAAACCAGTCTGGGTTTTGTATCCTGGGGCACACGCGACAAGCTGGGCCAAAGCCTTGATGGAAATCTTGTTTCTAGGGGGGTTAGGCTGTTCTGGCCAGCCCCCACCCCATCTTAGGATGTTGCATTTCTAGCACATTCTACAGTTATTCTTGAGAACTACAGGAGAAAAATGGGGAAGAACTGGATTGTTGTAAGACCACCCAGAAATCTGTTCCACATGGCCAATAAGTGTCTCATGATTTTTGTGGGAATGACTAGAAAATATGCCCTCTTTCCTAATTTATGTAAATTTGAGATCAGGGATGAAATGGCTGTTCATCTTCTTGTCACCATATTTAGTCTGAGAAAGGGACTAACATGTAACAAGTAAAATTGAAGGAGAGAAATCTAGCCCTAAGAATAATGCTGAGTCCCTGGATCTAGCCATACCTGAAGGCAGTGCTACACCTTGGGTTTTTCAACTACATAAGCCAAAAAATTTCTTTTTTTCTTAGGGGTGAGAAACCATTAATGTTGGTTGGATTTCAAGAATATGCTGAGCCCCTGGATCTAGCCATACCTGAAGGCAGTGCTACACCTTGGGTTTTTCAACTGCATAAGCCAAAAAATTTCTTTTTTTCTTAGGGGTGAGAAACCATTAATGTTGGTTGGATTTCTGTCACTTGCAACACAAAGAAACCCGATCAATTCAGCTGTGTGTTTTTTTTCTCCTATGAATGTCTGCAGTCCTTCACCTGTATTTATCATAGGACATATTACATTTTCCTTGTATTTAGCAAGTGCCTTGCCTCCCTCAGCTGTCTATTTATTTAACTATTCCTCTATTGCTTCTTATACATTTTTGCTGATTTAAAATTGTCATTAACATTCTGGCACAATAGGCTTTGCGTATAGTTATTGTTTCATTCACAAGATTGATTCTCAGAAGGGAATTGTGGAATCAAAGAATATGAAGGAGTAATTTCCACCAGAGGCTGGGACACGGCCTCAGATTTTGTCTGCACTTTTAGTATCTTGTTGTGTTATTGCAATTATTTTTCCAGATCTAGTTTCACCAACAGCTTGGGTAAGAGTTAGATTTATGTCCTTTTCGTTTTCTGCTCCAGCCATGTTGACCATTTTTTGGTTCCTCTCATGTTTCATGCTTTCTCTACCACAGGGCATTTTCACGTACTGTTACTCCTATCCTCACCACCTTTGCCTGGTGTTATGGGTTGAATTGTATCTCCTCATTTATATGTTAAAATCCCTGCCCCAAGTAACTCAGAATGTGACTCTATTTGGAGATGGGGTCTTTAAAGAGGCAATTAAGTCAAAAATGAGGTCATTAGGGTTGGTCTTGATCCAATATAACTGGTGTCCTTATAAGAAGAGAGGAAAGATGATGTAAGTACACAGGGATGAGAAAGTCACCTACAAGCCAAGGAGAGAAGTCTCAAAAGTAACCAACCCTGCCCACACCTTGATTTCAGACTTCCAGCATGCGGAACTGTGAGAAAATCACTTTCTGTCTTTTAAGCTATGTCATCTTTGGCACTTTGTTGCAGCAGCCCTAGTAAACTAATATTCCCGGTTACCACCTACTCCCCCTTGAGATCTCAGTTCAAGAATTTTCCCACAGGCAAACCATCCCAAGTACCCTAAATAAAATCTATCTCAAGTGTGCAGATTTATGTCCTTTTCATTTTCTGCTCCAGCCATGTTGACCATTTTTTGGTTCCTCTCATGTTTCATGCTTTCTCTACCACAGGGCATTTTCACGTACTGTTACTTCTATCCTCACCACCTTTGCCTGGTGTTATGGGTTGAATTGTATCTCCTCATTTATATGTTAAAATCCCTGCCCCAAGTAACTCAGAATGTGACTCTATTTGGAGATGGGGTCTTTAAAGAGGCAATTAAGTCAAAAATGAGGTCATTAGGGTTGGTCTTGATCCAATATAACTGGTGTCCTTATAAGAAGAGAGGAAAGATGATGTAAGTACACAGGGATGAGAAAGTCACCTACAAGCCAAGGAGAGAAGTCTCAAAAGTAACCAACCCTGCCCACACCTTGATTTCAGACTTCCAGCATGCGGAACTGTGAGAAAATCACTTTCTGTCTTTTAAGCTATGTCATCTTTGGCACTTTGTTGCAGCAGCCCTAGTAAACTAATATACCCGGTTACCACCTACTCCCCCTTGAGATCTCAGTTCAAGAACTTTCCCACAGGCAAACCATCCCAAGTACCCTAAATAAAATCTATCTCAAGTGTGTGTAGCTTCACATCCCCCTCCTTCCCAGCACTCTCCCCACTGCAATTTTACTTGTATCTGTGTCATATCTTCACTCATGTCTGCCATTCCCACTAACTCCAAGTTGACCGTGTCTTCTTATACTCACTATTTTATCCTCAGCACCTGGCACCATGTCACTCAATAAATGTTTACATAAAGAATGAGCAATGAATGAATATACATATATGTTTCTCAGGACTCTGTCTCTTTGAGAGGCCTGAGGTCTCCTTCTGAGATATACCTATTGCTCACTTCCCCTTCTCCTCCTGGCCAATAGCTCTTCTAGTTCTCTTTACTTATTTATTTTTTTGAAGGAGATATCACTTCTTATACTAGCTGTTTCGGTTGGCGTTGACCCTGCTCAGAAGCCACTTAGTGTATGTGATCTCCATGAGCAATTTTTGTTTCTGAGTTTGCAATAGGACTCAAGGTCAGTTCAATCAAAATAAATTTCAAGATTTGTGTTCGTCCTACTGGGGCAAGATGAATTCTCTTTCTGTGGCACTCGATACTGGTGAGATACAGGTTTGAATCTCCCAAGAGGCCCACAGAAGAATATCTACAATAAAACCCATAGAGAGGCAAGAAGATTCACGAGATGGAGAAAGACACTGGATCATGATGTTATTGTTCATCTGGGTTTCCTGTGCCATATTACTTCAGATGTTGAATTCAATAGTCAATAAATTCCAATTTTTATCCTAATCAATTTAAGTTTGATTTTTTCCACTTGCAACTGAAAGAGCCTTTCCAAGATATCAGAGAAGCTGTCAGAGTCCTAAATTCAGTCCATGCCTGTCTCATCCTCTTCCCTGAGCCACAACCCATGGCCTTTGGTCAGATGAGCACATACAGAGCTTGGAGTTCATGTCAGTTCTTCAGATCCATTTCCTGCTGCTGAGAGTCATGCTTGTCCCACCCCATACTCCTCTCAGAATAACAGTCTGCTTTCCTTCCTTCCTTCCTTCCTTCCTTCCTTCCTTCCTTCCTTCCTTCCTTCCTTCCTTCCTTCCTTCCTTTTTACCTCCCTTCTTCCCTCCCTTTTTCCTTTCCTCCTTCTTCCCTTTCCTTCCCTTTTCTTTCCTTCAAATACTTATGTAGTAGTACAGTGCTGAGTTCCATGCATAAAAGAGGAATAAAATAATGTCTTGTCTTCAAGGATCTCATAGTGCAATACAGAATTGCTTGTCTGATAGTACTCCATTAAGTTGTCTTAGTCAGTTTGTACATGATATAT